GGAATGTAGAGAGCCAGGGGAGAATAGACGATGAGACTAGAGTGGTAGAGAGGGCACAAAGGGCCTTCTGGGCCATGCTAAGGAATGTCAGCTGATTCCAAGAGTGAAGAGAAGCCATCAAAGTGGTTTTGCATAAGATTGTTCCGCCTGATGTGTGGCAAGTAGTTTGGTGGAGGACCAGGCAGGTCCCGGAAGGGGTCATGGTGGCGAGGACGTGGGTGGTACAGCAGGGAAGGCAGTGGATGGAACAGAAGCACTTTGAAGATCCGTTTGACAGGGCTTGGGTGACTGAGTCTGAAGGCTGACTCCAGGGTTCTGCCATTACTGACATGGAGATAAATGGAGAAAGATCTGTAAAGAAGATAAAAAGCTCAGTGTGACTGTTAGGTTGGAGATTCCTGTAGTGATGGCGATAATGAGGGTGAGGAGGAGGATGATGATAAAATAATAATAGTTAACCCTAGTAACCTGATCCAGGAACTAATAATAATAATCCCACCAGCCAGAATATCTTGAGTAAGGTATTGTGCTGAACCCATTACATAAATCACCTCACACAGTAATCCCAGCAGCCTCTGATGTAAGACTTACTAAAGCATGCTTACTGAAGCATAAAATCCAAGGCCTCTGCCAACTGGACCAGAATGGCCGAAGTCCACTGGCTGAGAGCTCCTCCCCCTTGGACAGTGTTTGGATGGAAAGAGCTAACATTTGCTTCTCTGAATGTGCTGTATTACCTTAATGAACTCCAAACTCTTCTTCCCACCCCAAGTCTTCCCTCTCCCCCCCTCTGTTCAGCCAGTTCTTTCCATTTTTTCCAAATCACTTTCGTATTTTTCAGAGTAGCATACGCCTTAAGAAAACCATTTTACTAAAAGGCTTTTGCCCCCGTACAACCATTCTCCACCAGTAGCAGAATAAAATGGAGGACATTCCCTGGCTTACAACCCTCCAGATACTTCCATGTGCTCTTCAAGGCCAAACTCCACATTGTTCTGTGGTCCAGACTGCCTTCCAGTCTCATCTTTTACCGCTCTCCCTTACTACCCAGATTTTACCTCTAGTTCTCAGAACAAGCTTTGTCCTGCCTCGGGGCATTTACAGCTCCTGTTCTCATTACCTGAATTGCTTTTCCCCTAGGCCTTTGCAGTTGCCTCCTTCTCATCCTTCAGGACTCAGCTAAGAGGCCCTCCCTGACTAGAGTGGGCTGCTTCCCTCATTCCCCCAGTGCCACTATCACAGCATCTGATTTACTTCTCTGATTGTACTCACCAAAACTATAGTTGTTCTTGACGGCTGGTTTACTGTCAGGCTCTCTGCAAGTAGAATGCCAGTCCGTGGGGGCTGGGCCCAAGTCTAATTCCACTGTATCCCTGGAAACTAGCCCAGTTCCAGATGCATAGTAGGTGATTGCTGGAATTGTTGATCGAATGCTGAAAGGGCCCTGAAATGACACCTCAAGGCAGTTTTGCTCCCTGTGTTACCTTTTTGAACACTCCATTTGTTCTTTTTGTTGTACTTTCTTTTCATATTACAGTTAGGCCTAGTGCCGTACGTTTAGAGGGACTTTACCTGGAAAGTTATCTAAAGGTTCAGGAGAAACATATCGAGCATATTATTTGAAAACGTAACCTAACGTAAACGTTGCTTAAAAATACGTTTATTCTGTGTTTCCCAAACTTCTGGGTACAAGGTAGTTCGGTCCTAATAACCCTGCTGGCAGAGGTGCCATTATCCCCTTTTCACAAATGAGATCGAGAAATGATGCTCTAGTTAGTGCACACTGGTGCATCTGGGAGTCCGCAAGTCCTCGGAGCTCTCTTCGATCCATTTGCCTTAGCCTGACCTGTGCTGCTTTGCCTGAGCTCCACGGGCTTCCAGAATCCTATTGGGGCTGATCTGTGCATTGGGATGACCCACCTTTATAACCTCTTTTACTTTTCCCTAATGTTTTTATTTTTGGACCTACAGAAGGGTTGAAAGAGAGGTTCAATGAACACCCATTTACCTTATATGTTGATTTAGTAGCTATTAACATTTTGCCACATTTGGTTTATCTGTTGATCCATCTAAATACTTGAGTTGAGAGTAAGTTGCACCATCATAATTCTTCATGTAGGGGCGCCTGGGTGGTGCAGTCGGTTGAGCATCCGTCTCTTGGTTTTGGCTCAGGTCATGATCCACAGGGTTGTGGGATCGAGACCCCGTATCAGGATCTGTGCTGAATGTGGAGCCTGCTTAAGATTCTCTCTGCGCCCCTCCCCGTGCTGGCTCGCTCTCTCTCAGACTTAAAAAGGGGTGCCTGAATGGCTCAGTTGATGAAGCATCTGACTTCAACTCAGGTCATGATCTCATGGTCCATGGGTTCCAGCCCCACGGGTTCAAGGCCCGCATCGGGCTCTGTGCTGACAGCTCAGAGCCTGAAGTTTTCTTCGGATTCTGTGTCTCTCTCACTCTCTGCCCCTCCATCACTCACGCTCTGTCTCTCTCTCTTTCAAAAATAAATAATTAAAAATAAGCAACTTTAAAAAAAATGGAGTTACCACAGTTCCTCAAATAGCCTTTGAGTCGTACCCCAGTAACCAGTCTCTGCCCAGACCCTACTTGCTAAAATTGCACTTCATCTTAAACCATAAAGGGGAGTTAAAAGCAGTTCAGAACAGTTCAGTGGACTTTTTCCCTCTTGCAGAGCACTTACGGAGTTCAGTGATTGATCGAAAAGACTTAATCATCAAAAGGATTAAGCCCAAGCCCCAGCAGGGGGATGACATCACGGTGGTGGACGTGGAGAAGCAGATCGAGGCCTTCCGCAGCCGCCTGGTCCAGATGCTGGGGGAGCCGCTCGTGCCGCAGCTCCAAGACAAGGTGCACTTGTTGAAGCTCCTGCTCTTCTATGCCGCCGACTTGAACCCCGATGCAGAGCCTCCTCCAAAGAACTGGAGCAGCCCCTGAGGTGTTTCTATGCACTGAACACCAAGAATACCTCCCGAACTCTATCTCCAACTACTTGGAAGTTCTAAAAGTATCTGAAGTAGTTAAAAATCTTAGAGGACCAAACCTATCTATTTATCTGTAGGTTATAATGACTTTCTAACTCTTTAGTAAATATCTTTTTTTGATATTCTATCCTAGCCTGTTCTCAAATATGGCTTAAATATACAAGGTGTATATATTTTTTAATAAATTATTTATACCTTTTTTGAAACAGGTAATACTATATGCACTATGTGTTTACCATTTCCACTCAATATGTGAAAAAAGAATCCCTCTGCTGAACAAATTCTGGACATCAACGTATGTCATTCAAGGTACTGATAACCTGTTTCGAAAGAGAAAGATCTACTCATTTCTCCCTGATGGAACACAAACATCCTATTTTAGAGCTGTTATGTTGCCTATGAATTTGACTTTGTGGCCAGTCTGTTAAGATCTAATGTATTGGGGGGGGGGGGGG